ATTAGATTCAATAGAGGCACTTAATCAAAATACTAATCATCAAAATCTTTGCAAGAAAACAGATTTTGGGTTCAGAGTTATGAACTAAGAGCCAAAGTATGTTAGTATGCATGTGCGTACATAAAACGCATGATCATCTTGCAAAAGAAGTAACCAAAAGGGGTCTTTTACTATTTGAATACACATAGTAGTGCTAGAATTCAAGACAGGTTTCTCAAATACATAATAATGCAGTCAGAGACAAAACCTAAAACGTGCATGAGATATGCATATTCCTGTCTTCTAGTTATTCCTCATGTCTTGAAGCGGCTTTCTCTTTGAGATCCTTGGAGCTGTTATGTTAAGATTATGCACAATCTTTGAGTTTGGTGCATTCTCTTTCATGTCATTCCGTTTAAGCTTCACTTGTGTTTCGTAAATTAAGAGTGGTTCCCTTCTTACTTGCTTCTCAGATAACGTACCTGATTCATAAGTGTTCAGATACTCCTTCCTGTTTTCGATCGGCTCATTCATGGTTTCTCTCCTAATCACTTCCTCATCTGCAGCTACTTAAAAAAAACAAAAAAAGGTCAAAGATTCTAGAGATTAGTCACAGTTTGCTAATCTTTTCTGAATCTAAGAGGCTATTAAGAAATTTAACCTTCTTCGTTACTGTTATTCTGAACAGTGGATTCATCAGGAGTCAGCGAGATGGCTTCTTCTGTGAGAATTGATAGAGTAGAAGCAGTAATTAGTCAAGTGTGTATCTCTGTCGAAAATTGCGTAGTTGTAGAAAAGAATTTTACCAAGTGGACCATTTGCTTCATTTCTGAGAGGTTTGTGACCGCTTTTCTCACATGAGTTTCTAAAATCTACTTCAAAATCAAAACCGAAGTGCTCATCCTCCGCTCCAGCTACGATGCATGTCTTTTCAGAGACATAAGAGTTACCAGAAGAGTCCAACATGAGATTTCCTTCAAAGCCTATTTGAGTACTCTTTGTTACCTTAGCTTCCACGACCTCGTCTGCTTCGCTATTGCCTACAAATGATTGGGAGATAATTAAACTATCTTGCATTTATGAGTGGATATATGTGATGCTGGAAAAACAAGAGTGCAAATCACCTTTTATTGCCAAATATTCTGCATTCATGGATGAAGAAGAAAAGATATATGAACATTTAAACTCAACTAATAGAATGACATAAGCGTATAATTACTTCATATGATTTAGATTAAGAAAAGTTGTATGCATCTATGAACAAAGTATGTGATGCAGAAAAAACAAGAGTGTTACTGTGCTAATCACCTTTTATTGTCAATCCCTCGAGCTCATCATTTAGATGGTTCTGAATGTCTGTGGAAGACATTTCATGGATGAGGAAAAGAGATATGAACATTTAAACTCAACTGGTAAAATGACATAAGCGTATAATTTACTTCTTATGATTAAGATTAAGAAAAGTTGCTCACCAGACACCATTCCGGAAACTTCAAGGTGGCTGGAAATTTCACCGATAGTCTCGGAAATATCTTCAAGTCTTAACTCTTCACAAGAGTTACCTTTGGCTGGTAAGGCAAGAACATAAGAACTGAGGGAAACATTTCTTCCTGCTTCTATGATTGTCTCTCCCTCTTCAATGTCAAATGCAAAACGATCTACTGAGTCTTTTTTCCTTTGCTTCGTCCCTTGTATGGCATCTAGACCAATAACATTCTCTGCCTGAGACTCTGTACCTGCAGCTTCTTTCCCGGCATTAAACTCGTGGCTGTAAGAAACTTTGGATGCAGTACGACCATTTGAATCAATGATGGTGTTTTCTGTGAATTCCAGAGCTGAAACGTGACTTCCCCGAACCACACTGTTTTCCTTCAAAACAACTTTGGGAGAGGAAGCGTTATGGCTTAAGTCAGACTTGCCAAGATCAAGCCGGTCCTGTCCAGACTCTCCCAGAAGTAAACGACTCTCAAGCCTAGTGAAGAAGGCAGACTCGTCCTTGAACTCTGCCTCCTTTTGTTCTTGCTTACCAGCGTTGTGTGGTTCAGATTTTCCTAAAAGTAGTCGTCTCTCTGGTGAAGTGAAAACAAAAGACTCTTCGCAAGTGGCTGCTAGTGCTACATTATCTCTTATCTTTCTTGTTCCGTCTAGTCCAGAGTCCGCAAACAATAGGTGCTTCTCAGTCCTAGCGAAAATGCCACATTCAACTCGCAGTTCCACAGCCTTATTTTCTTCACTTTTTGCAGCTTCATTCAGTTCAGCGCCTTCTGGAAACGGATGTCTTTCAAGGTTATTGGGAACAGCAGGCTCATCAAGAAACTCTGCAGCAGCTTTTTCTCCTGTCTTTACTGCTTCCTTTTGTTCAGTCTCTCCATACAACAGTTGCTTCTCCAAGCTTGTAAGAAGACCTGACTTATCAGCTCTATTGATTCCTTCTGATCCACCACTGTCTCCGGCTCCATCTGATACAAGATTTCCCAAGACTATGCGTCTATCAGGGCTAGTGCAAGTACCAAAGTCACATGAGAACTCAACAGGCCTGTTTTCGTCATTCCTTTCGATTCCATCTCTTTTGAAGTTTTCCACACTGTTAGACTCATCATGAAGCTCAACAACTATACTTTCTCCTTCATTTCTAGCTTCGTTTTTCCTGGAGCCTCCCAACATGAAGCATTTCTTCTCGGTGGCATTAAGAACATCAGATTCATCAGGAACTTTGGTAGCTGTATGATCCTCTTCCTTTTTCGCCTCATATAGCTCAGAATCCCCCAGCAATAGAACTTTTTCAGGAGTTGTGAAAACAACATCATGAGACTCTACTGCTTCATCATTGTGATGGGTCTCTGATTGAGCTGCACGGATTTTTCCATTCTCACTGAGTTGTTCCATTAACATTAAGTTTCTCTCAGGGGTAGTGAATACAGCTGAGTCGTCAAGGGCGTTGCTAGTAGCTTTCATTTCCTCTTCCTCTAAACACTCTAAAACGTTCTCTTCCTTGGGAGAGGGAAAAGCAAAGTCAGTTGACAACCATCCGCTTAGTTTACAGCCTCTTTCACTAGAAATTGTTCGCTCAGATTTCTCTACACTGTCATCCTTAACTTCATCCATCGTCTCCCGGTTTACACAATAACCAGCACTGATACAAGCAGCCTTACTGATCTCCGCTTGTTCTATTTCACTGCCATTCTCAGCAATGTATTCAGAGAAGTTGCCATGTAAATTTGGTAGTTGTGTATCCTTCTTTAAGGAACCTTTCTCATTATCATTGCATGAATGAATATCGTTCCCAGGTTCAGCTGAAATTTCCATGATAGCTGTGATTAAACGCCAGAAGTAGACATAGATTAGAGAAGAGTAAGTTAACCATAAAAGTCAAAAAATAACTCAAGCCAAATGAAAAAAGAGTATATACCTTCTGCTTCTGCTAACTTAGCTACAAAGCTATGTTCCTTCAGCTCAGATCTAGAAATGGAATCCAGGACTAACTCCTTGGTTTTGATATCTTCCTCGGGAACAAATGTTGAAGAAATATCTTTAACAAGGATATGGCCAGTAGGCACGCCTAGCTCGGCTTCCGGGTGTGTCACTGCTAAATGTACTGAAGCAGGAGGTGGAGTGGTTTCCACAAATAGCTCAGCTTCAGGGCTGCTCACTTCTGAGCACTCAATAAGAAATACAGATAGTGATGATGATTCCGCTTTGTCCTTCTTTGTCGCAGCCATCAGAACTGTGTCTTGCTCCTGTTTCTCTCCAGGTTCTGCTTCCATAAGTTCAGAATTCGACTCTTGTATGTTTCTTATCAGTGAAAGATCACCTGAAAGTTTTGGTGTAGAGTCCAATTCATTCTCAGAATTCATAACAGGCTCTGCAGCTTTGGTCTCGGATGTAGAAGGTGAGTCATCAGCCATTCCTTGTGGATTATCTTTTAAGAATTCTTGATTCACTGTCTTGATTTTCTTGAAAGAGCCTCTAGCTTCCACATTAGCGCAGCCTTCTTCTTCTGGCTCCAACTGAGCGTCCTCATCCAAATGTTTTTCTGGTATAACGCTTACACAAAGACCAACATTCATACAACCAATCTTGATAGTCTCCAGTTCTTCTGCACTGCTATTCTCAGTGTTGCATTCAGAAAAGTTTTCATGTGAATTTGCTGCTTGTACTTCCTTCTCTGAGGAACCTTTCTCATCATCTTTGCTTGAGTGAACCTCTTTCCAACATTCATCTGAGTTTTCCAGGATTGCTATGATTAAATGTCAGAAAGAAACACGGATTAGAAAACATTTATTTAGCGATAAAGGTGAAAAAATGACATATTTCAATAGAAGTATACATACCTTCTTCTTTTGCTAAATTAGCTAAAGAGCTATGCTCCTTAAGCTCAGATTTAGGAGTGCGAATAAGGGTTTGGTCCTTGGTTTTGGTATTTTCCTCAGCAATAACTGTTGAAGCAGCATCTTTAACAAGAATATGGCCAGTAGGCACTACTAGCTCAGCGTCAGGGTTGCTTACTGCTAATTGAACTGAGGCAGGTGATACGCGATCGATAAGATGTACAGAGCGCGATACTACTTCCTCTTTTTCGTCCTCAATCAAAGCCATCAAAACTGTGTCTTGCTCAAGTTTCTCCTCACGTTCTCCTTCCATAAGTTTGGAATACATCTCTTGAGTGTTTGTTCTTTGAGAACTATCAACTAACTTTCCCAGTGGAGAATCCAAAACATTCTCAATAATCATAACAGATTCTGCAGCTTTGGTTTCAGAGGACGAAGGAGAGTCCTCAATCATGCCTTCTGGCGTATCCTTAACGCATTCTTGATTCATTGTCTTCGACTTCTTTGTAGAGCCTCTAGCTTCCACAATAGCGCCGCCTGCTTCTTCTTGCTCAACCTGAGCATACTCATCCAAGAGTTTTTCTAGTGTTAGATTGGTTTGAGTAAATGTGGTTTCTGTTTTCATCCCTGGCTCTGCTGATCTACCCCGCTTCATCCTCCGACCAACTTTTTTAGAGGATTTGACAAGAGAATCAAGAGTTGCATCTGTTTTCTTTTCAACAAAATTCCCTTCAACTATTATTGGAGCCTTACATGAACCGTTCCTTGAAGAGTTCCTGGTAAATTTAGTACGTACCTGCACTTCATCATTCACATTTAACTTCTTCACATTATCAACAGAGGCTCCATCTCGTTCATTGTCAATAACTGAACATCTTTTCGGTGAATTAGCCATTGCTTGACCCCGCATATTATCTAGTGCAGTACGCTTTGAACGTCGTAGAAGCTTTTTATCCTCACAATCATTCCCAGAAGTTCTCTTTGATTGTTCATCACCCTTTTGCGCTTGGCCAACAACTAGGAGTTCACTGACACTCTTTTCACGTTGTCTGGATTGTTGTGGAGCCTTTTCTACTTCCAGATCATCATGATTCACAGCCTTGACATTTCCATCCACCAAGGACCTCTTATCCATCAGCACATTGACGTCCTTTCCAAGTCGTTTTGAACGTTGAGAAAAATTTTCAACTTGAGAATCATCCTGGACTTTCATCCTACAGTTCGTTGTCTGAACCTTGCAAGGCTCCTTTGTTTTATTTTTGACCAGCTCACCTTCTTGACTATTAACTGCCACAGATCTTTTTGACTGCTTAGTCTTTCTTTCCTCTTTACTCTCCTCTTTACCAACTGCAGCACTAGCTTTAAGCCTCATCGACCTCCTCTTATCCTGAGCATTGGTCTGCACATTAATATTGTTTACAAATCGTCCAGATCTCCTCTGAACATTTTCAACAGTAGGATCTTGCACATCCTTCCTGTGATATTTTCCTGTTCCCTGAACCTCAAAATCCATAGATACCTCCTTCACAATATTCTTTTCAGACTCATCTTCTTTATTTTCTTTGTCTACAAGTCCTTTTGACCGCTTAGCTATCAGCCTTGTGGACCGCCTCCCAACCTTTTGTAACTTGAAACCATCCTGATTGTTTCCAGACAATCCATTCGAAATATCTGTATCTTCAAACTGTTCCACATCTATCAACTCTAATACTGTACAGTCTTCTTCTTGAGTACTACCACGTTTCGACCGCCTTGGGACCTTGTGCACATTTGTAGCATCCAACAAACTACATTCCTTTTCAGTCTCAACAATCTCTCTTCTTCTCTCCGATTCATTTTCACTACACTCAGCTACTGTTACCCCCTTGGCCGCAATTCGCGTTGACCGCCTTACCTTTTGAGCAATCCCTTGGCTACACGATCTAACACTCTTCTGCTTACGTTTCTCAACAGACCGAGTGAATTCGAAAACTTCATTCTCCGGACTAAATCTTACTTTCTTAACTTCTCTGCTAACAACGAGATTATCCTTTACACAATCTGCCTCAACAAAATCCTCAAGCAACCTTTTCGTTTCCGTCACAACAATTTCTTCAGTTTCCTTCTACATAAATATGATCAGATTC